AAAGCAAAAGCAAAATATTTTATAGTTTCCTTATTTTATATTTTCTTAAATATTTTTTTATACAGGTGTCCCAGTAATGGTGGATAATCTGGTACGTACGTGTTCGGGTGGGGGGAGGTGGCCTCGGTTCCCTAAAAATTAAAAATTCTATCACAAACGGTTCGCGGTCTACGCCACGTTTTATAAAATTCCGAAAATTCGTACTTCTGCTCACATTTGTGGTCATCACGTCCGCAGTTTAATGCCTAGATCGGATTTTTTTCTTTCAATGTGCTCCCTAATAATGATGTTTCTAAATTACCCTTATAAGTTTTCAACTACTATGAGTAGTATTATACAAGACGGCACTAAACATAGGTATAAATTTTTTACTTTATTTAACTACTAAGTTTGAGCACCTGTGGAGAAAAAAAACGTATAGGATCTGTGTGGCCCACCATTTAAAAATTTTGCCTATATTATAAGGATTCTAAAACGTTAGCATATTATGTACTCAATGTCATTACTTACTGAGCTTTAGCCATTAATGTGTAAAAATATGCATTTCATTACAAAATTACAAAATTATTGGCAGCTAGTTTATTTTTAACATTGCATGTCTTTATTAGGTAAGTACATTTGTCGCCCTTGAAAATTTTACTTTACTACATGCTCGCCTTGTTTGGATGAATTCTAAGCTGTGTGAGCGAGACAACAAAAAATCTAATGGGTTAATATCGGGTGATCTTGGTGGCCACAATATCGGTCCCATTCGGCCGATCCACCGGTCACGGTTGGCTTCGTTTAAGTAACTCCTTACTTGGACGGCGTAATGTGCCGGAAAACCATCATTTTGGAGCCACATTCTTCGCCGGATGGCTAGTGGCTCATCTTCTAATTAATGGGGCAGCTCATTTTGCAGAAATTCTAAATAATTGGCCCCATTCAGTTTACCCGGCAATTCTAGGGGCCTATGATTCTTTCGTTTAGTATTCCTGTCCAATAATTTATTTTAAACTGGTATTGCGACTTATCTTTACTTATCAAATATAGATTTGTTCGCTGCCAACTGTGCAGATTATGCAGGTTCAGGTATCCGTCTCTTTTACACGTTGACTTGTCGCTCCACAAAATTTTTCTAAAACACCCGGAATCTTCATCTATTCGCCTCAGAATTTCTCTGCAAAAAGTAACTCGTGCTGGGTAGTCATGTTGTTGATGCGTTTGCACACGTGTAACATGATAAGAGTGAAGTCTCCATTTTTTGAGAATCCGATGTGCTGTAGAATGCGATACTCGAGTGCGTCGTTCAATATCTCGCATCGAAATAGACGGATCTTTTTCAACCATATCATGGACAATTTCTTCAATATCAATGTCAGGTATCGTCCTCTGCAACTGGCACCAACAATACCAGCACCAGGCACTCTCCCCTCTGAATAAATGCCGTGCACTCTAATAAACACGCTACATTCACCATAGCTAAAATGCAAGACAGCATACTCTTGGGGTGTGTACATTTCTCGTGACATGACACAGTCCTGTTGTTATGCACAAATCATGAGTCCAGTAGAATACTGAGTTGTCACAATTATCACCAAACAATCAAAATGCACAAGTCAAGAGTCCAGTAGAATGCGAAATAGTATTTTGTAACCAAAAGTCAGAAATAATAGAGCACATGCGATGTCGAGAAGGTCGAGATACGCACTAACCATATTTAACAATAACCAAACACGAATTCATACAATGGAGTATCTGTCGATCCTTTTTACTCACATTAATCCTAAGCACCGTTTGTCTCGCACACACAGCTTAGAATTCGTCCAAACAAGGCGAGCAGGTAGTGACGTAAAATTTACAAGGGCGGTACTAATGTACTTACCTAATAAAGACATGCAATTTAAAAAAAAAACTATCTGCTAATAATTTTGTAATGAAATGTCTACTTTTACACATTAACGACTATAGCTCAGTAAGTAATGACATTAAGTACATGGTATGCTAATGTTTTAGAGTCCTTATGATATAGGCAAACTTTTTAAATGGTTGGCCACACAGATCCCATACGTTTTTTTTTTCATCACAGGTGCTCATACTTAGCAGTTAAATAAAGTAAAAACTTTAAAGTTATGTTTAGTGCCGTCTTGTAAAATACTTCCTATAGTAGTTGAAAACTTTTAAGGGTAATTTAAAAACATCATTATTAGGGAATATTATAAAGAAAAAAATCCGATCTAGGCATTAAACTGCGGACGTGATGACCACAAATTTGAGCAGAAGAACGAATTTTCGGAATTTTATAAAACATAGCGTAGACCGCGAACCGTTCGGGATAGAATTTTTTTTTAGGGAACCGAGGCCGCGTCTCCCCCGTCCGAACACGTACGTACCAGATTATCCACCATTACTGGGACATCCTGTATATCAACCAAAACCATTTTATATATAATAAATTGAGGGATACGAATATACACTCCATGCAGCTTGTTAGCTCCGCCGAAATTACATAAATAAATTTTACAATAAAACATTCTCAAGCAAACAATACACTGCATTACATTTTCTAAACAGCTGTTTGACGAATATAAACTTGGCATTGTTTGCGATAGAACAACAGTGATATATTTTTGTTGGTACATATGCTATACAATCAACGCGATACTGCAACTGTCTTGTTTATTTTAAACGGATTCTAGTAGAATATTAGTTAAGTGGTCACTTGAGGCGAGGTAGAGCATTTTAAATTGCCAATCGCATACTCGTAAACGCTTCTTGTCCGGTCTTTTACTATTCATTATTCGCAGAAATGTGACCAACATGCAGATTATAGTACTGTTATGTATTTTGGCAACTTTTTAAAGGTTTATTAATATTCAATGTTATAAGATTAATTTTCCTATTTTTAATTAGAAAAAATAAATTAGACTATATATTTCTTTTCATTTTTTGCTTTTTAATTAGAATACCAAAATCTGGCGTCATATTTTTATATATAAGTAAATTTCTCCTGTATCTTGGAGGTATTTTATGGACAGAAATTATCACTAAACAATTATTATATATTTTCACACCCTTTTTTCGTATTGCATTGAAAAAGTTCAAGCACTTACTAGATCTTCTGTTATAATGCAAAATCTATTTTCAGCACAAAATGGTCGAAATAAAAATTGATGATTAATTAATTTCTAGTAAAGGTTTTATTATCAGCTTGAAATTCTACACTCATAGTTGTGTTAAGAAATGGTGTTAAACAAAAAATATGATAATAATCGATTTTGCTTCAAAACTTTAAGAGATAGAAAGAAAAAGTATTATAGATCTTTTTTGTATAAAATTAATTATAAAAAAATATTTTTCGAAACTTTTTTTTATATCAATACTTAAATAAATTAAAAATATTTTCCTAGTGATTTTTCTGGATCCTGGATTTTTGATAATCTAATATAATTACTTAATTTTTACTTATCCATGTTATATTTATATATTTGTTGTGTTTTTATTATGTTTTATTATGTTATATATATTTTAAGTCAGCTGTTTAAAATAAAGAACTCGTGGATAGGAAGCTTGTATTCAAAGTCGATTATGAGCATGAGTCTAATTTAGCGTTAACTCGTTAAATGGTCACGGACTTATGCTCTTTCCGTGCAATGAACATATGGGATAAATTGACTGACTGACTGAACGATGTTAAATAGCATGACGTGACGATTGAATGAATCGCGTGTTATAATTTTTGAAAGCACTTAATTAGTTTTACTTAGTTATTGCGTAGAACCATGCTGCAATTGTATATTGTAGCACGAATGGGTTGGCTGGACGGGGAAGGAGCACACTCGCAGAATACCGTAAAATAGCAGCTTAATGCTGCTCTGTTTCATATAGTGAGAATAGAGAACTGGAGATCCTTTTCATTGGAAACGAGGCATTCCATGTTAGTGCTCAGAGGCGACAACGGATCTACATTTTGATTCTTAATCGAGGATAGATTTAGATGTCTAAGGACCTCAATATCTACTTACCGTCAGATCGACTGTGGGCTGTTTGTCACCCTTATTTTAAAAATTTACACAAATAATTTCTTATATTTTCTTCTTCTATTTTTATATTATGTTCAAAACTTTTAAAGTTTGCATACAACTTACACCATCTTATTCACGCATCTCGATTATTGTGATATCACAAATAAATAAATTAAAATGCTGTCATATATATATTTTTTTAATTAAAGACCTACTTTCATAAAATACTACAATATTATGTACTTCTATGCAAAAATTAATTAATCAGTCGGTTGTGGTAGCATTAGGATTTAATATTATATGTATATGTTGAAATTTATTGATTATACAGTAATGCACATAATTTATTTCAAAATAATCTAAAATGTTACTTTACTATTTAATTTTATGAGCCTTACATATATTATGTTATATACGTAATAGATTCTAAAGTACAATATTAAAGAGATTTGTTTTAACCTTGAAACTATTCCATTTCGAGGTAAGACAACCAGTCAAAACAGTCTCCATAAAACATTTAGCCTATAAAAGTCTATTGAATACGCTCGGGGTGACACAATAAATACAGTAGTAATGAATAATACACGTTAGATGGTACGGTGTTAGATATCGTGTGTTCGTCGTTTCCATGGAGGCGGGTCACGTGCGCGGTAACCGTGACAACCCTCGCTTCAGATTGAGTCTAGGACTGACAAGTGTTCGTCATATGGTTGATAGGCTTGAAGCTGAATATACGCAAGCTGACAGGACGAACGGCAGCACGTTAGAGGTGGTTAAATACGACCCTGACGTCGAAGATAGCTACATCGGATACGATGACTTCCCCTTCGGTCCACCGAAAGGACAAGTCTGGAACAATTTCGCTGTGAATTTCGGCGTAGCTCTGAGTAAATGCATTCCAAGTGTCACGCTCGCAAATTTCGGTGTTCTTTCCGTCGCAACAGCAGTGTTCGCACCAAGGATGATCTCTTATCTTGTATTATATCCGTTTTGCAGATTGGTATTCGGAACTCTCTACCCTGCATACGCTTCATATAAAGCTGTACGGACAAAGAATTTGAAAGAATACGTGAGTATATTACGTTTTATTTTAGTACTGTAATTTTCATTATGTAAATTATGACAACAAAACAAGTTTTTGTAAGTGTTAGAGCTAAGCTACAGCTATATTATTGCTAAAGCACGAATGTATTGGTTTGATCGTGGTAGGACCAAGCTCTTATACAATACCGGAGTGAAATAGCAGCATAATGCTGTTATGTTTCGCAAGGTGAGTGAATATAAGCGGAAACTTATACGTGGTAGAGCCATGCTGCAGCTATATTATGGTTGTAGCACGAATGGGTCGGCACGACCGGGGAAGGACCACGCTCTCACAGAATACCAGCGTAAAATTAGCAGCTTAACGCTGCCGTGTTTCGTATGGTGAATGTAGAGAACCGGAGATCCTTTTTACTGGAAAAGAGGCATTCCGTCTTAGTCCTCACGGGTGACAACGAATCTGCATTTTTCCGCAAACGAGGGTAGATGTAGATGTCTATGGGCCACAGCAACCACTTACCATCTGGTGGACTGTGTGCTCGTTTGTTACACTATCCTATAAAAAAAAACGTGATAAACATAGGCCCATATGCGACAGCATTCACTTACCATAAGGTGTCTTTGTGCTCGCTTGTCGCCCTAACTTCTATAAAAATTGCAATACTTGGAAAATAAGGTTGCTGAAGCAATACCGTTACTAAGTACAGAGAACCCACCGACACGGCCTTGTCACGGGTGTTCGCGTAACTTGTTCGAAACGCTTCAGTTCTTATTGTGTCCTTTACCTCCTCTCGAATACTATGCGCAATTAATCGTGAAGCCTATATCATCTATATAAACATAGTTATTGACAATTGAATGTTTTGTTATAATATTCTTAGTGCTTAGTGCATTTGTAAATTTTGTCAAGTGGTGACAACGTAAGCGAACTCATCACCCCATTTTAACCCGTAGTTGTCATATGAATATGGAGGAGACGTATGGGAAATACGTAGATGCCCTGGTCACATAGACTCCAATATTTATTCTCGGTTAAGAATCAATACGTAGATGCGCTCTAAACCCTAAAAACTAAGATAGATTTTTTTTAATAGAATATGGGTGACAAACGAGCACACAGTCCACATGATGGTAAGTGGATGCTACGGCCCATAGACATCTACATCTATCCTCAATTGAGAAAATTAAAATGCAGATGCGTAGTCACCCCTGAGGACTGAGATGGATTGCCTCGTTTCCAGTAAAAACGGTCTCCGGTTCTCTACACTCACCATACGAAACACAGCAGCATTTAGCTCGTATTCTGTGTGAGCGTGGTCCTACCCTGGTCGTGCCGACCCATTTGTGCTGCAACCACAACATAGTAAAAAATGGTTTATGAATATTTCGTTACAAATAAAAAGAGTACTTATTCGAGTCAATGTACACTCACCATACGAAACAGCAGTAATATGCTGGTATATTATCTTTAGCAGGTATTCAGTGCATGGCCTTACGACGTTAGAGAGTACCTGCTAATATTTTGTAAATCTTTTTTGCTGGTCTGTAATCTCATTACAAGTACACTGCTGAAAATAGGCTTGCTGGTTGGTCTTGAGCCACCTGCGTACATTGACTTCCTGCCTGCCTTATTAGGTTGTCACTATATCCGGTGGAGAGACTGTGAGCTTCCGTAAACGGCAAGCGAGAAAACTAATGGTCTAGAAATGAATTAAAATTTTATAAAGACAATATCTGAAAACCTCATCCTCATCTATCGCAGGTCATAATAGTTTCTTCTGATAATTTCCTGAGTCGACTTAGCGATTATATATATATATACGTTCTGCTTGGAATCCAATAATTAATAAAATTAAATCCCAGCCCAAGTAGTTGTACTGCAAGACGTCAAGATATTGTAAGTTCATGCTGCTGCATAGATCGGAACAAAAATTAATAATTTTAATCTGGAAGTAGCCGTGGTTAACTATGACATTGGGACGCCAAACACCTCAGTCCGTCAGTCTCAGTTTTATAATTTTATTAAGAAAAACTAAATAAAGAGATTGATTTTCTTATGCTGTTACCACATTAGAACAAATGCATAATGATTTCTTACATTTACGCCAACACATTTAAATTAAACTAGTTATTACGGATTTCATTTTCATCGCGTATATTAACTTATTTTATATTCATGACGTTTCGAGCACTTTACAGCACCCATGGTCACGGGGGGGGGGGGGGGGGGATTGAGGTGTTCGACGTCCCAATGTCATAGTTAACCACGGCTACCTCCAGATTAAAATTATTAATTTTTGTTCCGATCTACGCAGTATGAACTTACAGTATCTTGAAGTATTGCAGTTGTATATTTGGGTTGGGATTTAATTTTATTAATTATTGGATCCCAAGCAGATGGTAGTACCCAGCCATCTTCTCTATTGAAATTAGGATGTTTTTGATTTTAATAGCCTCGCGAATCATCCTTGGAAGGATTCTGTGTTCTTTAGTGAGGATTTGTGGTCTATCAAATCTAATTATAGTGACGAGGGCGATCCTGTACATGTTCATAGACTGCAGACTTCCCGGAGCGTCGATTCTTCAGAACAAATGCGTTTTTTTAATAAAACTGAAGTGACAAACGAACTTACAGTTCACTTGATGGTAAGTGGCTACTGCAGTCCATGGACACACATCTCATTAGATCCAGGGTAATCGACATAGCCCAACGGATCAGTAAGCTAAATTGGCAATGGGTCGGCCGTAGGTATAGCTCGAAGAACAGAAAAACCAATGGGGGGAAGAAAGGTTCTCAAGCAGCAGTTTCGTATCAGTAAATGCCAATAAGGCGGCCACACAACTCAGATGCAGAAAGTCAATGGATGCAGGTGGCTCAGCACCATGCTTTGTGGCATTACTTGGGGGAAGACTACGTTTAGAATTGGACTTGTGAAGGGCTGTATTGATAAGGACGATGATGATGAAAGTGATGTCTTAAAGAAATAATGAAAATATTATATTAAGTTCTTATATAATTGCAGGTAAAATGGATGATGTACTGGATAGTGTTCGCACTGTTCACGTGCACGGAGACGTTCACAGATGTATTCCTATCGTGGTTCCCGTTTTACTACGAGGTGAAGATAGTTTTGGTGCTATGGTTACTGTCGCCTGCCACCAAGGGCTCCTCAATCCTTTACAGGAAGTTTGTGCATCCAGCACTTTGCAGGCGGGAACAGGTACTGTCACATTCTTCATTATCTTTGATAAACTATTTTAAAGCAAAAAAACTATTGTTTCATTTAAGACTTGGTAATAGTTATTATTGAATTGAAGTAAGAACGAAATGATTTCATAGAGCTACGCGAATAGTTACTACACAATTATTAAAATTGGCTGTTTTAATGGCGTTAATTTTAGCTGATTTTAAATAAGAGATCAACTCAAATTTTATTTAGTAAGAAATGAATTTAAAATATATACCCAGGTATAACCCAGAACTTGTTTTAACGTTTTTATCAAGCTGAAAATATGCATATCAAGTTTATTTTTTTGCTTTTTGAGATAAAATACGGCTTCACACGGGTCGTTTCTGGATCTCGACAACAGCACTACCTCACACAATCTGGGCGTCTTCAAGGCAAGAGTGAATAGGCTTTTGTTACGCTAAGACAGTGTGATTTATCGTCTAGGGCTGCATCACCAATTACTACCAGATGGGATTGTGGTCAAGCACTGGCTTATAATAATTAAATAAAAAACCTACCGGTACTTTAACACACACACACACACCACAAAAAAAATTATCAGAATCTGTCGAGCTAGTTTTGAGTTTTAGCGAGATTAACGGACAGCAATTGATTTTTATATAGAGATGTATAATTTTAACTATATTAAATACCTCTATAATTATTGTCATAATATAAAGTTATAAGGCGATAATTACATAAAGTCATAGGTCTTATCGTCTAATAACAATTTATACATATTATGATGACGTCATATTTTTATCAGTTAAAAGCAATTGTTGGAATGGAAAGGATTTCTTGGAAAGTACTTTTGAAGGAATTGGCATTTATATTGGTTATTGCAGAGCCAATACCCCTGAAATCTAGTTGTGTAAACGTTGTTCAGCGTTGTCTATTATTTTTCACTATCATTCGGTCGTTAAGAGTCTAGTCGGCCAATCGAATCGGTGGGTGCACCATATGCAAATAACGTTGGCATTTCGCCAAAAAGTTGGTCTATTGCATCTTATACCCTAATTTTTTTATGCACAGGTTTTATTTTAAATCTACGTAAAGGAAAAATAATTTGGAAAATCCAAAAGTGCACGCCTAGTGAGCGTTTCTGTTAATTTTGATGAAAATAATAAATTGTATTCCTGACTTTTAAAATATATTATTTACGTGTATTAAATTTAGCTCTCTATTATTTTAACAGGTAGTGTTACATACAGGGAAAAAATGTTTATCAAATTAAATCGATTACCACAAAGTATAAAATCGATATAGGCTCTAAGGACAAATGTACCAACATTTGTCCTTTGTCTATCAAATGCTAAAAAAATATATGACATCGCCCTTAATTTTTTAATAGCGATAAAACTTATAAAAATCACGCGTGAGTGTCGTGGAACACTCGGTTGGAAGGAAGTTCCTTAAGTAGTATATTATTATTGATAAACGTATTATATTATTGATTAACAAATACAAAGAAATGAATTACTAGCGTCTATTAAAATGAAACGTTATTTAAAATAAAATAATATTTCTTTCATGGCAAGATAAAAAGTGCAAGGGAGATATTATTCCATCTCCCTTCCTTATAGCCGCCAAGGCCGTCTACGCTACGTCAGGTGGGGTCGTGACGAAAAAATATTACACTCTCCGATAAAGAATTTCGTTCCGAAAAATTTGAAATCATTTTATTAATAAAATAATTAAAAATTTAAAATTTTGTACAGCCGACTGCAATATAAGTTATTTAAGAATAACTCAAAAACTATAGGTCTGACCTAACACACATAAAAAAAAACATACAGTCGAATTGAGTACCATATCCTTTTTGGAAGTCGGCAGGAAAGGAGTCCTACAACCTAGTGAACTACCATTTATGTTTATTTTTTAAAAGATTTTTCTAATCATCATATAAATACATGTGCAAATAAATTAAAGTCTGTAAACTTTAATAGACATAAAACATGTTAGGTAGTTTGTTGCTAACTATTGATTGTATCAAAAATGAGCTTGCAATTTGTTTAACAATAAAAGCTCATTTTTGACTATTACATAGACTATTGATATGAAATAGGAAACCAGTTGATGTAATTCTGAAGCTAATAAAAAAAAACCCGGTCTCGATACGTTAATTTTTTCGGGAGTTATCGTTACCACATATAAAATCAATATCCGGGCGTCAACGTAAATTTTTTTTCAAAGTAGCAATATATAATTATTTTTCGAAAATATGAGATGGATTAATTAGAGTGTTTTCTTGATATACGGCTACACATTATCGTATAAGTACAATATGGTTATGATAGAGGCATTTTAAGAACACATAATAGAACAACACGCTTGAAAACACAAGCTTGACCTGGACGTGTCGAGAGTAGAACTCACCTATAACGCTTTGCTTTATGAGGCGTGCAATAGTGAGGTAACATCTGACAGCATTAGTAATAAAATTTTGATAACCATTCGATCTATTCAAATAAATCGACTAATCGATTTACTGAGTGGTTATCTACAATATTTATTAATTGCCCATCGCTTCGACACATCCGTAATCATGTAGTAGGCTCGAATGTTTAGTCCTTTTACTTTATAGGTATCGGTTATATATCGGATAAATGCTAATTTTCTTCTTATGGTTTCTGTGAATTTGTAATACGTTTAATATGTTTTTTGATTTATTTTATATACGTATACTTACACAAAACATTACACCGCAAGGGACTTGTTAAGTGCATTCATTGCATTCATTAGTACATAATTTCAAATTACTGATCGTCAACATGGTTTCCTTAGAAATAGGTCAACCACTACTAATTTAATTGCCTTCACCAATTATATTATCCAGCATGTTGATCAGGGTTCTCAGGTCGATGCTATCTATACTGATTTTAGAAAGGCATTTGATAAAGTTGATCATGAGATACTTTTGACGTAATTAAGTAGTTGTGGTATTGGCGGCCCTATTTTGGTTTGGTTTAGATCTTACTTAACTCTTCGCGAGTGTTATGTAGTTGTTAATGGGAAACAGTCTGAACCGTTTAAGGTAACCTCGGGTGTTCCTCAAGGATCACATTTAGGGCCCCTTTTGTTTCTAATTTTGATCAACTCAGTGACAGAATGTTTTTTGAACACAGAGGTTTACCTGTTTGCTGACGATTTGAAATTCGTTAGACCTGTTAGATCGTTAGCAGACTCCCAGCTTATTCAAGCCGATGTTGATAGATTGATCGAGTGGTGTACTCAAAACAGTATGCTTCTGAATGCTAAAAAGTGTCATCATATGTCATTCACTCGCAAACATACTCCTATCCAAACTACATACAAAATTGGCAACACAGTACTCAATCAAGTAGAGTGTATACGAGACCTGGGCGTATTATTGGATAGTAAACTGTCTTTTGTACCACATATAAACAGTATTATAACGAAGGCGTCCAAAATGTGCGGATTTTTATGTAGAAACACCGGACAGTTCAGACATACTCAAACTTTACTACTACTCTTTCACAGCTTAGTTCGAAGCAACCTTGAATATTGTTCTCAAGTTTGGTCACCTTACTATGAGGTTCATAAGAGTGGAATTGAACGAGTACAGCGGAGGTTTCTTAGTATGCTAGAATTGAAATTTAACCGACATCGCTCCTTAACTTCATACGATGAACGGCTAAAACATTTCCGTATATCTTCCTTATATAACAGGCTGAAACTTTTGGATTTGAGCTTCCTCTATAAACTGTGCAATAATGGCATCGACTGTCCTCAATTACTGGAAATGGTTAACATTAATGCTCCAAGCAGATTACCACGATTTAATGTCTACAAGCTGTTTATGGTCCCACCTACTAGGACTAACCTCGGTCTTAATTCAGTATTATGCAGAATGTTTAGACTGTGTAATGATATATCTAGGCCTTCTGATTTAGATATTTTCAATGACAATTTAAATAATTTCAGAAGAAAAATGTTACTTTATTTAGAATATTAATGATGAATGTAAACCCTTTTTAATTTATCATACATACGCAATTTTGCTACTGTAATATTAAATTTTATGATAATTAACTTTTCGCAACATTACTCTGTGTAAGCTGTGGTTGCCTATAACTGGGTGAGCACATTGCATGTTTCTCTCAATGCTTGGATCTTGTTTTTAGTACTTGTGTATCATCTGTCGGTGACCCTTATAAATAAATAAATAATACATCGATGTATTGCTTACTATACAGTATCTCGTCACGGTTAGGCACGAAGAAACGTTTAATATTTATACAGAGACAATACATTCTTGCATAATGATTTATAAGGAATAGTACATTATAACGGCGGAAATGTTTGTATTGCAACACAGACAAAGTACTCTCTTCTTTTATGGGTTTATAAAATTTTGACTGCTACTGCGGTTGTTGATAATTCGCGGGTTAGAATCCCTGGTATGGGTCAAAATCAATTATGGTTTTTTTTTTGTTAGAAGCCGTTGATCCTGCGACTGATCACTTAACTGTCGTGTCGGATTGCCGACCCATCGGGCTATGAGAATGAAGAAATAGTAAATGCACCTGTAGAATAGAATAGAATTAATTAGAATAATTTATTATTATCAACAACTTCGAGCGTAGTTATATGTTATACGTATATATTGTCGTGTGTTAGTGAGTCAAGGTTTCCATCACCCCATAACATCTCCAATGAGTGTCGTTAGAGGCGATTGATGTTCGTATCATCATTACAGCCTATCAAAAGCCAAGTGCTAAACATAGGCCTCAGCCATATATTGACTGTTAGGGGAAAATTTGCCATAGTTACCACGCTTAGCAGGTGCATTGGCTACTGCAGTTTTTTTTAAATTTTGCGTTGTCATCAGGAAAATACAGCTGCCCATCTCCTGTTTCATTTTTCTCTGTCGCCTCTTGCGATACCCACGGTATGACATGTGGTAGTGGATTCTTTTTCGCCGCCACAACATGGCGATGGGGGTATAACCATCACGTATAGGCTAGATGTGAATTGCTTAAACCGGCGACTGGAGCACTTTCAAAGATGTGAAAGATTGATAATGCCCATAATATATAAGCATAACGATAATGATCTTCCACTCATACAGAAAGTGTAGATATAATAACATTAATATCTGCATTTATGTTATTTACTTTAAATGTTTCTCTTTCACCTTACAGGAAATAGATGAATACATTGCCAAAGCCAAAGACCAGGGTTACCATACTGTGCTCAACTTGGGTACTAAGGGCGTCAACTATGCAACAACCGTTATTATGCAAACGGCTATAAAAGTAAGTTTATATCATTAATTTCCCGACTACTTACTAGCATGCTTTGTTTTAATTGATGGACCCAAATAAGAAAAATCATATTGTTTTGACTTTATTTTTGCCACAATAATCCGTTCTAATTTGGGTCTTATACAAGCTCAAGGCGTCAGGTGTAATTCTATAACATTTAACTAAACACAAGTTTTTTAATTTAGTTTTTCTGTTGTTTGTCACCTACTTAGTCAAATTCACCTAATATACAATCAGTTGAAACAACCTGTGGCATGTTTGATCACGGTTTATCTGAGCAGAACAACACAGCGGTGGTTTCATTTGCACAGCTTTCATTTGCATTAGTTTTGGTCAAATGCTAGCCAGCAAATCGACATTAGACATGCCCACAATTATGCAGTATTTCCCACATATCAATTTGACGCACAGCTGCTAAACTTAATTCCATTTTTGTATTTTTAATTTTATTAACACGCTTTTTTAATTTCTTCCCATCCCCCACCCTATTCTATTCCAAAATCCTTTCCGTCGCTGCTTCAATTAGAATTTAAATCTGCCGAATGCTGAGCAAGTCGTTGAATCTAGAAAAGCTATAAGGTCTCGAGACGTCACTGATGGCTACGAAGATGCTTACGATCTTGAATATCAACACTCTGAAGATAACAACGCTCCTGGGGTTGAAATAGTGGAACTAGATCACCGCGATAACAACTACGACGACGAGCTCCATGTCGGCGGCGGAGATGCAGATGATCCTGATTATGAGCCCACGTCTGCACGTAGCCGCGGCAATATCGTTAGAAAACGCAAAGTGACAAAAGACAAAAGATCACGGAGCAAGTCTAGAGGCCGTAAGACTAGAAGTCAAACTGCCGTGGAAAAAGAGAATGTAGTGACGATCGACTGAATTAGATTTTCTCCAAAAAAACTTAACTGTGATTCTTAGGCGATGTTAGGGAGATTCTTAGTTTTAATATACTCAGCAAATTCATAATCATGCTCAACGAATAATACATAATATTATAGATTTTCTATTAGCTATCCCTTTTTCTTAGATCACATTATCGTTTGAAATCTTTAGAAAAGCTACGTATTTACGACTAGTTACATCTACTTTTTGTTTGTTACTTTTAGTCCGTACTCATGTTTATTCTCTATTTTCAAGCATAAAAGGCAATCCTTTATCATAAAATGATTCTTATATTCAAGTTTTGTTTTTTTTTTTTAACTTTTTCCTTTTGTATGTAAAAAGCAAAATCTCAGTCATCGACTTTTGTATCGCATGGCTAATGAATTTGAAGTAAATTTTTGCATGTTCCACGTTTTACAGTCATCGGCTATGTATGTTGTGTTCTTAGATTTTAGTTACGTGTGACTGACTTAGTGTAATGTATTTCTTAATAAACGATGTCATTATAAAAGCGTTTTTATTTATACGTAATAAGAGCTAAAGAGAAATAAATAAAACGCTAAGGCTGCATGTGCTTCGTCACGGGACTTGTAACATGGTGAATAAACGTAAGTATGATTTTTATTTATATTTAAGTATTGCTCATAGATTCAATAAAATATCTAAACTACTCAAATCTTACTAAGATATCAAAAATTCTTAAGGAACAATAATAATATTATATATTCTGACTACTTATTGATGTATTGCAGTTGTCTAAATATTTTTCACGCCAGCCGAAACCGATATTCGTCGACACTAATAATCAATCGTTTTCGGATCAAGGTTATGGTTGTCCGAGAGTTGATAGATGTTTTTTTATAGAAGAGAGGCCAAATGAGCATGCGGCTCACCTGATGGTAAGTGACTACCGCCGCCCATGAGCAATTGAATCGCCAGGGGAATACTTGCAATTCGGCCGGCCAGCAATTATTGCCGGGCTTTTAATAAAGTGTAGGCTCTTTTCTTGCAGGTCCCTAAGTCGTATCGGTCCGAAAAAATTGCTGATGGTAGCCGCTTCTACAAAGAAGTTATGCAACGAAGAAGTTCTAGTAAATCGCATAGTGATGGGCCGTCAATATTCCAGAGTCCAGATGTTATGGACGGTTACAGTATTTTGTCGCGATGTGCGATTGTGAAATTTACCGGCTGGAATAAGTCCGAACAATTTCTCTGAGCACTTCCCGTTGTCGATGCGAGAGAATATGCTATGTAACATCTCTTCGCAGCGTCAGTGAGCCAAACCTATCAGAAAGAACTCGGTCATCAACGATTCGAGTTCTTCGCTGAATGAGGTCAAGTGGAAGGTCAAGTATTTCATTTGAGGTCGAACTTGTGCTTTGTAAATTTGCAAGCAGTGTGCTGGCATGAAATACTGTTCTACTGACCATGACCACAATTTAATCCTCCCTTCCAAGTAAAGATTTACTCACTGGCGAAATAGATATTGGCGCATGTGTAAGAGCCATGTACATAACATGCTGTGAGGGCATTCCATCCTTAGAAGTGACTATGCATTTAAATTCTTTTTTGTTTGAAGTTGGTTGTATATGTCTATGGACTGCAGTAGACACTTACCATCTGGTGAGCTACGGAATAAGTTTATTCTACAATTTTACAAAACCAAAGTACGTACGTAATAAAAGTACGAACGTATTCTCGGTTTTTGGCATTTGTAACGATTTAGGTTATAATATAATAGTACAGATTTAGCTAAAATATTTTCTTAATTCAATGATAATCATAATTATGAGTATGTGCTGTATGGAGCGGATAATATGGTCGTTATACCTTAATTTATGGATTTACAGGGAGGCGGCGGTTTGGTGCAACAGTTGCGCAAAAGCTACAGCCTGTCCGATTTGACTGAATGTGAGCCGATCGAAGAAAGGGGCGCGGACGAGGCTGATGATGTGCTCGCTGAGCCGAGGCTCATTCGACGCGCTCTTAAAAGGTAAACTTAGCCAAACAGTAGTCAGCAAGGGGGAAATTTGTTTACCCTGTGAAATAATTGTCTACAGGTAAAGCTTTTTTAACTATGGGTATTATAAACCGCTTGCGTAATGAGGGCTTTAACTGCGTTTTCCTCCGCCAGTTCGGCGCCACTTTGGTATGACGTTTTTCACATTACAATTGTTAGTAATGTTTTTTTTAGCTATGGGTATTGTAAACCTCTTGCGTAATGAAGGTTTTAACTACGTTTTCCTCCGCCAGTTCGGCGCCACTTTAGTATGACGTTTTTCACATTACAATTGTTAGTAGTGTTTTTTTTAACTATGGGTATTATAAACCGCTTGCGTAATGAGGGCTTTAACTACGTTTTCCTCCGCCAGTTCGGCGCCACTTTGGTATGACGTTTTTCACATTATAATTGTTAGTAATGTTTTTTTTTAGCTATGGGTATTGTAAACCGCTTGCGTAATGAAGGTTTTAACTACGTTTTCCTCCGCCATTTCGGCGCCACTTTGGTATGACGTGTTTCACATTACAATTGTTAGTAGTGTTTTTTTTAGCTATGGGTATTGTAAACCGCTTGCGTAATGAAGGTTTTAACTACGCTTTCCTTCGCCAGTTCGGCGCTACTTTGGTATGACGTTTTTCACATTGCAATTGTTAGTAATGTTTTTTTAGCTACGGGTATTGTAAACCGCTTGTTTAATAATTTAACTACGTTTTCCTCCGCCAGTTTGGCGCCACTTTGCTATGACGTTTTTCACATTGCAATTGTTAGTAATGTTTTTTTTTAGCTATGGGTATTGTAAACCGCTTGCGTAATGAAGGTTTTAACTACGTTTTCCTCCGCCAGTTCGGCGCCACTTTGGTATGACGTTTTTCACATTACAATTGTTAGTAATGTTTTTTTTTAGCTATGGGTATTGTAAACCGCTTGCGTAATGAAGGTTTTAACTACGTTTTCCTTCGCCAGTTCGGCGCTACTTTGGTATGACGTTTTTCACATTGCAATTGTTAGTAGTGTTTTTTTTAGCTATGGGTATTGTAAACCGCTTGCGTAATGAAGGTTTTAACTACGTTTTCCTTCGCCAGTTCGGCGCTACGTTGGTATGACGTTTTTCACATTGCAATTGTTAGTAATGTTTTTTTAGCTACGGGTATTGTAAACCGCTTGTTTAATGATTTAACTACGTTTTCCTTCGCCAGTTCGGCGCCACTTTGGTATGACGTTTTTCACATTGCAATTGTTAGTAATGTTTTTTTAGCTACGGGTATTGTAAACCGCTTGCGTAATGAGCGTTCTTACCACGTTTTCCGCCGCTAGGGTGGCGCCACTTTGGAATGAGGTTTTTTACACTGGCATTGTTAGAAAAGTGGATAGATTAATGAAAACTTAGAATTGAAATAGTACGTATATTATTTAGTTTAGAAATAGATAAATCAAACTAAGGATATTTCATAATGTAGAAGAATTAAAGGATAATTAAATTGAGCGAAAAGTTAAAGAGCACACCACTGAGGCAATGCTTTGTGTATAAATACATATACTTGCACTGGAAAACGAAAACCTTTTATTTAATACTTTACTTTTGAATGATGACAAAAAAACTTCACCTCTGTTCCAACTAGTCTGGACATCTGGTGATCTAAAGATTATGACAGCAAATCAAAATGATGGAGAAGTAACGCTCCTTATGAGTGATTACTACCATAGGCTGGTTGAACAAACAAATGAGATGTTTATTTGACTTACTTTTGAATAAAAAACCAAAATATCTGGACATAATTTGAAAATGTCGGGACTTAGCGGTTGTTGTCGGGAGAAATAAATATTAAAAATAATTAGTATATGTAAAATAAAAAGTTTATTTTATAAATTAATAGGCTACAAAAAGACTGGACATTTTTGACACATAACTAATATAAGTGCACTTAATTTTTAGGTTGCCACATGTACTTGACATTAGACTTTACTGAGTCCACCAATTTCCTTTCCTTTGTACAAGTCCAAGATTTTTTTTTTTTAAAAACGTTACCCCCACACTAGGATTTTCTCCTGTATCGTGGAGGCAGTTTACAAACATATATTGCACAAGGACAAACATCCAGACCCGGAACAATTATTTGTAGGCCATACAAATACTTGTTCCGTCCGGGATTCGAACCCGCGGCCCCAAGTGTTGCAACTCATTGCTAAGCCACTACGCCACGGAGCCGTCGAAGATCCTTTAGTAGTATTCAAAAAATATTTAAAATTATAACAATATACTTCTAAGTTCAGTTTTATTACTAACTCAGCTTTTATTAAATCAAAGGCAGCTGTGATGTGAAGAGAAGCTGTTTGTGTGGAGATTTTGAGTTTTGTCGGGAGTCTGTAGATCGGTTTTTAAGATGTCGGGAGAATCCAGGCGAATCCCGACTATGTGGCAACCCTTATTTCACACTAATATGAGCTGGTTCTATTCTTATGTGTTTCATATCCACAGTGGATTTGCGGCTCGGCGTAGCGCTTCTGAGTCGAACAGTCGCCAGCCGATGTATTTCCCAGAAGTGGATGTGGACGTGAGGAGCACTCGCTCCGGTAGAAGCGATGAACCAGATTTCAGGTATATTTTACATTTTTATAGTTCTCTGTAGGGCCGCTTATACTTTACTTGGGTTTTTTATACGTTTTTGTACGAATGATCAGTATGTAATAATAGATTTTATTGTTAATTATGTAAATTATATCGATTACAATTTTTAAAATTTGTCATTTATTTTGCATAATATAGTATGTGCTAATTCAATATAATAATATATAAAGTTATAAAATCAGAATTACATTTCAATGATATTCTTATTTGAATATTTTAAAAGGTAACAATATAAAATATAAAAAAGAAACATATTAAATGTATGTTTAACAAAACTTATTGATATAACATTTAATTTATAAACATATTTATTTAGATTAAAATAAGAGTCAAAATGGGCGAATTTATACCACTTTTCCCTGTTTTCATGGCTTGCACGTGGAAACCTAAAAATAAAAGAATAATCAGCAAATTTAAATATCAGATATTTAGCCCAATTATGAATACTTCTATTTGTTTCTACAAAAAAAAAATTGAGCATATTATATTATGCACAATTTTTTCCACAATTAAGTATCCACAGAGAACCGTAGTCTCTGAAAAATTTATTTCATAACCTATATTCCATGACCCGAGATGGCATCTTAGTAATAATTTGTTTGATTAATCTGTAATACTTTTTTATTAATTAAGTATCTTACTCACCGATGATAAGTTATTCCTTGCTATTTGCTAAGATTTCTTGATTATTTGTGCTATATCTAAAAACACACCATGGCATATTTTATCATGTTTTTTTTTATATAATCAAAAATAGCACGTATGAACGTACTAGCGCCTAGCGAGCGACTGAGTAAAGTGTGGCGATATCGCCACTGTTGAATGGGACAGCGTAACTAAATGCAGTGTCGACTGTCGCCTAGTACGTAGTACATAATAATAGCTCTCTGTTCGTATATATTATAATATATTTATTAACGTTAATTTTAATCTACAATAAAATCACGACAATTATTTAGAAGCTACTAAATAATATACATATAATCACGCCTCTTTCCCGTAGGGGTAGGCAGAGACCACTTCTTTCCACTTGCTACGATCCTTACATACTTGTTTTGCTTCGTCCACTTTCATTATTCCTTTCATACATGCTCTACGGTTTAGAGTACTCTTGACCTGACCTTTTTTCAAGACGTCCCTGATTTGGTCTAGAAATGTCCGCCTAGGTCTACCCCTTCCAACACTTTCATTCACACTCGCCTTATACACTTTTTTCGTCAATCGTTCTTCATTCATTCTCACGACATGGCCAAACCATCTCAGCATACCTTTCTCAATTTTTGTCACTACATCTTCTTTCAGACCACAACGTTTCCTTATCTCACTATTTCTTATCCTGTCACTCGGTTTAACTCCTATCATACTTCTTAATGCTCTCATCTCAACTGCATTTATTCTGCTTTCATGTTTCTTCTGCCATACCCAACTTTCACTTCCGTACATGAGTGTCGGAACCAACACCCCCTCATGCACAGCCAAACGAGCCTTGTTAGACACCTTCCGACTGCTCATAAAGGAGTGCAAAGCTGCATTCACCATGTTTCCTGCATTCACTCTTCTTTCGATATCACTCTCACACTTTCCATCTCTTGTAAACTTTGAACCCAGATACACAAACTCTTTCACCTGTTCAATTTGTTCATCTTCAATCACTGTCACTGCCTCATCTTTTTCAAACACCATCACTTTCGTCTTCCTTACATTCATCTTCATTCCCTTTCTAACAAAAGCTCCACTCATAGCAGTTACCATCTCCTGCAACTCCTCGGCCGAAGATGCAAGTAATACTTGGTCATCAGCATAGAGAAAACATTTGACGAGTAACTCATTCATTCTCAACCCATTTTCATTCTCTTTTAAATCTGCCAAACAATTGTCCATGAACAGATTAAACAGCCACGGTGACGCTACACATCCCTGTCTAACACCTTTTTCGATATTAAACCATTCAGTGTATGCCCCGTTTATCCTTACACAAGCACTAGAACCCCTATAAAGAGATTGCAATGCTCGTATGAGGATACTGCTCACACCGTTCACGGACAGTGTTGACCACAATTCATTCCTCACCACTCTATCATAGGCTTTTTCTAGATCTACGAACGCGCAGTAGACTTTCTTGTTTTTAGCCAAACACTTTTCGGCTATGCACCGCAAGGAAAAGACCTGATCCGTACATCCCATTCCCTTTCTAAATCCCGCTTGTGCATCCCATACTTTCTCGTCTGTTTCATTCACAACCCTTTCAATCAACACTTTCGCATACAATTTACCGACGACGCTGAGAAGGCTTATACCGCGGTAATTTATGCAGTCCTGCCGTGACCCTTTTCCCTTATACAATGGCACGATTACGGCTTTGCACCAGGCTCCCGGTACTTGCCCATTTCGCCAGCACAGATTGAAAAGGCGGTACAGCTGACTAGCTACCAGGCTCTGTCCAGCCCTCAGCATCTCGACGGTAATTCTGTCATACCCTGCAGCCCTACCTAATCTCATACTTTTCAACGCTTTCACTATTTCATCCATGCTTATCTCTAAATAATAATAATATAACTAATAATAATACTACGCTTGCGGCTACTACTGATTTGTTTTTCTTGTACTTTGTGCTTCAAAGCGCGAAAAAGATGGTAATTACTAGGACACAGATCTGGAACATTGTAGGATCTATTAATATGACGTTATTTGGATTTTAGATAATCATTAATGTCCATTTATTTTATCAATTTTAGGATTTCTTGAAAAAAATCTCCCAGATTTTCGGACGATATATATATATATATATATATATATATATATATATATATATATATATATATATATATATATATATATATTCCTAGCATTGCTCTGTATCTGCATTTCAATGATTACAGCGCAGACAGATAGAGCAACAGATATTTTTTAAATGATTATTCATCTAGTTTGATGACATGTAAAAAGCCCCCTCAACTCAAATAAAGACGCGATATTACAGACAGATACTGCAATTTTATTCATATTTGCAGATAAAATGGTCTTTCCGTTGCAGCCTATTAAAATCCACTGCTGAACATAGGCTTCATCTATAGATTCCCTTATAGGGGGATGTTTGCTATAGTACGCTTGGCAAGCTGGTTGGCAATCGCAATTTTTTTATTTTTAGTCCTTATTAGGATGACGCTGCTGCATATTTGTTTTCCTCATTTGTTTCCCTCTGTCGCCTCCCAGGTCACTCACAGGATGATATAGGGTAGTGTATATTCTTACACCGCCACTATACAGTGAAAAGGTGTTATCATTATAAAAATATCAATGTTTGATGTAGGATCAATAATGTTGTTACAGTCACATAAAGTCAACGGAGGATATAAGCTCGGGGTACTCTAGCGCGGACAACTCTGCGCCGCTGACGCGCACGGGGTCGGTGGGCGCGGCGGGCGCGGCGGCGCTGGCGGGGCGCGGCGGGCGCGCGCGCGCCTCGCGCTCGGCCGCGCTCACCGCCATCAAGCGGCCGCCCGCCGCAGAGGTCTGGTAACAACACCCGCACCACTCGCACGCCGGGCCCGATTCTTACTGAAACGATCGAATTAAGTCGCCTCGCGGTACTCGAACTCGACACCCTGCCGCACGATATAACACTGCGGCTGCGCGCAATCATGTATCTACCACTTCTTCTACCCTTTAGGAATGAGGTAAATTATTTGACAGAATATATAACAGGGAAAAATGTAATGTTTATTTCTAAAATATTAGTATTTATGGTAATTAGATTTGAGACTTAAAAATTATAAGTAAATCACTGTGGCATTATTTTGTGTTTTTTCATACTCCAGTAACAGATAAAGTTTTATTTCGTAACGCAACTTCTCAATTCTAATGACATTGTGTAACAAATAACTTCACCTCAATCCCAACTAACAACATCTGGCGAGCAGAAGATTATTTGTCCCCATTTGAGTAATTGACACCGTTAATAATTGATATATAGCAGTATCTTTGAACTTCGTGTACTTTAGTTATATTGTACTTATACTTCATGTACTCAGGTAAAAACATCTATAAAAGATCTTAACATTCCTCAATGATAATGTCTTTTTCACGTTGGCTACTTTATTCGATTGGTATTTCAGTAACAATCGACCCATCGCTAAGTCACATTGAAGGAGCAACATTAACCAGCTCCCTAACTGTGTCTTGATCTTGAATCTTAGTTTCACTTCACCAACATCTTACGCTTGCTTTGACAGAAGACAAGCCTCGAGCACTTATGCTATAACGTAAGTTACGTGTATATTTAAAGCGTATATTAACCTTTATATAAGCAGACAAAATATATTAACGTCGTATTTTGCTGATTTGATCGAAATTTATAGATTTTAGAATAATTTATAGAGATAAGATTTGTTTTCTGTTGCGCCTTAAAGTAACGAAAATTGTCGAAGCGAGCTATATATAACATTGATAATGAATTTAAAATACATGTACAAAAAGAAAAATAACAGCTTATTTATTTATGTGCCAGTGCTAAGCACAGTATTCTCGTTTCTAAAAGAGTTACGATCAATAAATAACTATTCTGTGCTTGCATGTGCCGGGTGGTAATAAAACATGTTATTTAAAACCAAAATTTGTACATCTTTGATAGACGTAAATATTGTAGAAAATATGTTGTTTTTAATAATGTCATAAATACTTATATCTCAATTCGAAAATTTTCTCGTGCGCAAACACAACCATTTAATAATCCATTTAAAATGGTACTGTATTCTATCAAATATAGTTGATTATGTAAACCGACAAAAATAGTATTATATTATGTAACTTATTCTATCACAGTAATTAGTATGTTTATAAAAATAATATTTTATAATTTTTATACAAAAGCAATCTTAAAGAAGAATGAAAAGATTGTTATTGGAAGGTCGATTGGTGTAAAGCATATTATATAAAAGGCAGGGTAGTGTTGGTGCTGGCTCATTGATTGTAAGAGAAATGAAATGTTTCTTAAACAGAGTTATTAATTTTAGTTATTAATCATATATTATATAGGCATGAAAAATAATACATATTTGATTGAAATATTTAACATAATCGATTATCAATTATATAGAAAGTTATAAAAAATACATAATAGAGTTCAATAATGAAAAAACGACTGGAAAATGTGTCAAGTTTTGAATTATGTTGCTCGACGCAGTCTTAAGACAAAGTAGTCTTATTAGGCGGACTGCAGTTCTTTTTATTAGCATCACTATTTATCTTTGATAATTTTGCTTCAAATTAAATCCACGGAACAAGCAATTATTAGGCAATATCATTTCAAATATTTTTTTAACTATCGGTTGCAAAATTAATTCTCCCATATGCCTTTAAAATTTCTTTTTGCGTATAAAACATTTGATAAACACGACAATTAATAATAAATAGGTCGTTACATAAAATAATATTTTATAGTCTTTAAAATGAACCTTTTTTTAATTTTTACCAATTCATGTTTCTCTATGTGTTAATGCATGTTACAAGTATTTATAAGACTTAATTCATATTATAAGTCTGTATTTGCATTTATTAGTTTACTATTTTTCTTATTTACTTTGATTTAGACTTACGGCATTTTTATTTAAAGGATAATGAAGTTCTCATCGAGGAGTTACAAGACGACGATTCTATTAATTGTGCAAATATGCCTTCCCTTATTAATGTATCGTCCCATCTTTATTTATCCCACACAAACCCTCCATTTATTTATCAATACGTTGGGGATCAGGTTAAAATTATACAAGTACTAGGGCAAATGCCTTTATATAATGAAACAAATTTTAATAGTTATCAGTCCAATCATCAGGACCATAAAGAAATGGTTACTGAAAATACGATAGAAAAAGAACATATTATTGAAACTACTTCATCGGAACAAAATAATTCCAATGATACTACAGCAAATAGTACAAATAGTAAAGAATACACAGGTAATGATTTAGTTATTGAGGAAGCAAATAGTTCTACAAATAAAAACTCTAGCCCCGAAATTGTTGAGATCCCGTTAGACAGTTTGAATGCGGACGAAGATGCTAACGATAAAAATGACAATATAAATGACATCGAATTTAAAAAAAGAAATGAAAACAATGTAGCATGCGTATCTGACAATTTAGCAACAAATAGTTCAGCAGAACCGTTAACTGATTATTATTCTTCCGATGATGAAGCCTCTTTTGGAACACCTAGTGATTCTCCTAGAATGATAAGAAAAAATCAAAGAGGTAAATACGGTAAAAACAAGGCTCCGCCTCCACCAAAAATTGATCTTGTTAAAACTGTTGTTTCTAATGTCATGGAGCATAAACCAGATACTGATTCCAAAGAAATGGCTATGGCTATCGCTAGTGTATTAAAGGAGTTAGATACGCAAAAAGATAACAATCAGACAGTCTGTCGTCCAGAAACCCTTACTCCTGTTAGTGAAATAAAAAGACATCAAAATTCCAAATCCCCATCAATAACACCCAAACCAAGCGCTTCAGGCTTCGGAAAATTATTGCAGTTACCAAGTAAATTAACATTTTGGCATAAAGTCGAAGATAAATCCATTTCTGATAATAACTCGGTTTCTTCTGATGACAAAAGTAGAAGAGGTTCAATGGAAAATTCTAGCTTTTATAAGAAGGATGATGCTTATGTCCCTTTAAACGAATCAAACGATATAACAGAAATACCCTTGAGAAAAAATTCTAAAGACATTTTAAGCTTCGAAGACGCGCAAGAATTTGATACCGAAAGTACGACCCAAAATATTGTAGAAAAAAGTGATGTACTTCAGAAACTTATCGAAGCCAAAATAGAAAGTCATCCAGAGTACAAATATGTTCCTTTAAATGATGAAATCCCGACGACATCTATAAGTACAGATGTATAATAACTCCTCGCCTCCATATTAAATGTCAGCGGGGCAGAACCAGTATGTTTAATATTTTGTTTTGTGTTGATTTTTTGGTTTTGCATGACTATCATTTATGAGCTTTTTTAATTTATATGCATTATGAATGTGCAGTTTGATTTAAGTCTGTGTCGATGACGATTGATCGAGTAACGGATCTTCTAAAGATTTAATCATGGTCAACCCACTTCTCACTAAATAGCCAGGCGAGTTGACACGTGTTTTGCACAATACGACCGCGAGTGCTACGGAGAGCGGAATACCGCGCATCGCGACTTTTTGTTTTTGGTGTAGTTTAATAAAAATAACAAACTATATCACTATAAAATAAATATTATTCAGTGTATATAAATTATACGTTGACCTACTTCAATAAAGTTTGGATCATTTTACTAAACTGGGTCATATAATCATGAAAAATTAAACATTCAATGAATATCGTGAACGATGATGCGCGACAGAAGAATGATCGAATAATTTGACCCGATCACCTTACCTTATCAATGGGTCACGATCAGCCCAGGTTATATAATAAACGATCGATCGATACAGACCTAGTTTGATTTAACTTTTAAGACTTTCCCAAAACTTGTGTTATGGTATGTAAGCGTGTAAAATAATAATTATTACATAATATCCATATTATTGTGTGTATATTGTAGTGTTTCAGTTATATAACTCACTAAGAGTATATATGTAATAGTGACTAGATTGCAAATAAATAAATATATAGTAAATATTTTCCTACTGATTTAAATTAGAATTAATTTTTATTAGTACTTAAGTTTTGCCGCATCAGCGACGTTTATACTCGTTTAATCAGATGTTTAAACGCCGGTCATTCTAAAACACCGCTTCTAAACTCGCGCCGTACGAACTAATGCTTTGTATTGCGAAAACGAAATTCCGTTACTTACTCGGATTCGCCAAAATGACTTGCCTATTTTTTAAAGGTTACTATAACATTATACACGGTAATTCTTGTAGTTTTTAAGGGAGGTACGAACAAAACTTTGGATATTTTATCTTGAAGTCTGTTTTAAACGATAATAATTTGACTATTTAAGCTAATCAAAACCTATTTCGATTTTTCTGTTATCTAGTCACTATAACATTTACAATATTATATAGTTGTTATAACCTTTTGTCTATATTTACTTCTTATTGCTTCATTTTTATAATGTTGCTTATCTATTTCGTTTAAGCTTTTGTCCAAAAACATTCTGAATATTGATATTACATATTCAGAATAAGTACCTAACACCTTATAGTAAAAAGCTTCCGCTTTTTGACTTAGTTTCAATTTCTTTGTTTTATTTTCAGGCAATGCTGTCGGCATCTGCTACAATACCCCGTGCAAAAAAATCTAGTAAAAGGAAAACTCAGTAAACACATTTTATTAAAGTATTAATAATAATTATGTATAATATTATACAGTTAGTGAATCATAAAGAACATTCGCAGATGTGTATAGAATGTCGATATTTTGACAAAGTCGATGGCATAGTAGAGGCTGGGTTTTAGTTCTTTTTTTTTTCTAAAATTAGTTAGCATTTGCAATATACACCGCAATAAAATAAATAACATAAAAATATAAGCAAAATACTATTATTTTACAACCATCGTGAAAATGAACCATGAATGCATAAATGCACTTTTTGGACTAAAACTGAGAAATTGTTTTGTCTTCCCTTAGCGTCATTTTATATATATTGCCTGATTGCCAATGTGTTGCCCCATTGTTATTTGTTGTAAAGATTAGATAATAATTTAATAGATTTGGATAAATTCTGCTTTACTTCGTGCATATAAAGATATAAGAAGTATATAGAGTAATGTAATGAAAAATTAATAATAAAATTTTATTTCTCAATATCTATATTAATGGGACATTCATTTTTTTGCTTTAAGCTCTTCCAATATCAGTATTAAAATCTTAAAATAAACCATTAGTTACTTACATTAAAATAAAATAGCTTTTATTAACTGTAATGTTGTGACCACATAACATGATTAACAATGATGGTAAGGATAATTTAATAGAATTTAGACAAGCTCTCTGATTTCTAAAATTTAAGAATGATTGAACACTATTTGAACCTACGCTCGTAGCAATACGATTGTACTAGATAAAGGCAAATTTTTTATTTTAAAATGGGTAAGTAATACAGTTACCAGATTAACTCAATGGCATGTAATGCACAATATATTTAAGAATTAGGTCAATTTATTTATGAGGACATAATTCTCAAAAAAAAAACCCTTTGTAATATTATTCATTGTATGTTTATTTATGAATTGGTTTGTAGTTTTTTTTTTATGAAGACTCAATTTGGAATTTATAATTTTGCCAAAATATGCCAAATATACAATGTAATGCAATCAATTACATAATATTAATAAATACATTTCTAAATAATGATAAACTTATGAAATTAGATTATAATATAAAGTTAATGAGGCTTTTTACCATACTATAAAAGCTAGTAAACTATGGGGGCATGTGCTTCCCACTTATATTTTAATCACATGCAAGCAAATATAATACTCAAAAATGTGTAAGTAAATGTAAGGCGGTCAACTTTACGGAAAGGCAAATTTAATTAAAAAATTTATATAATGTTGAATTTTATTAAATTTAATAAAATTCAAAAACAATATTTTAATAATTATTGCAATGCGGAATTATAACAGCTATTACGGGGCGAATCCGCAGAATGCGGGACGGTTGGCCGCCTTAAATGTCAAAGGACATATTTGTTGTTGGTAAATGGCATACAAAAGTCCTTATTGTAATTTCTAAAGATTTAGGGAAGTCGTCTTTCTCACACTTGAAATGAGTGCACCTATACTAAATTATATTTAACTTACAGTATTTTTATGATCATGAAAACAAAATGTAAAGTTTATACATAGTTAAAAATCATCAATTATCAGATCAAAAAATTATTGACATTGTTTTGAATGTAATGCATATTATTTTATTTATTTATTCTTTATTGCATTCCTTAATCTAAAAGAATACAAAGGTAATGCATATTATGCAATTATCTAAAAACCAATTTTTTTAACCATATTTGTTCCTGAAATTCTTTGCTGTCTTGTGAATTAGTTCCTTAAACGTAACTTCGAATATTTATGTACCTACCCACATCCTACATACATGGTGATTTTATTATCCATTAAACAATTATTTTATAACACGTGAATATATTGTTCATTTTGGAATGAAATTTTACTGTATTTTGTGTTGATAATTTGGTTTCGATACTATTGTTTGTTGTCTTGTACGTACAGAGTCACTCCGAAAAATAACTGCAACGACACGGATACATAAAAAGCTCAAATTTTAAAATCTGCAAAAATTGTAATTACCAAATCTGTTTACAATGTTTATAAAAAAGACCTGCATTAATTCCATTTTATCTGCGTAGATACATCGCTTAATTTATGTGTCAGTGTTAAAATTCGCGGTAATTCTGTACATTTTGCTAGTGAACTATAATTGGAATTTTGTGTTTGAGTTAATAAAAGGCAAAAAGTTTGTATTCTTTTTATTTCTTATAAATAAAATAATTACATTTCCCCACTTTTACATTTCAATACGTCTAATATATATTTGCCATAATCACTTTTATATTCATTATTCATAATCTGATGCTCTAATATATTAAAGGACTGTTCATCCCAAGCATTTACCCAGTACAATAAAGAAAACAATTTATAATAACTATTGCTACCGTTTGCAGAATCGATTACTACTATTTTAGGTAAATTCTGAATAATTACAGTCAATTTAGGTTTTATTACATTGTTAAAAAGTATATTGTTAGTCACAGCAAACTTGAGAAGAATATCAATTGTGTAGGTGTTTATGTTTTCTTCCAGCAATATATCAGGTAAATTTTTGAGCCAAGCTTCATAGGTATCACTGGCATGAAAGGTAAGTAAACTTTCATTTATAGCAATTTTACATAGCAATGCAAATATTTGCTGTTTGTAAGATCTCGTTATATTTACATCATAATAAGTTGAAACTATTTTCTTGAATAATGCTTCCACTACGTGAAATGTTTTTGTCCAACTCGTAACTTCTTTCGAGAATATGGTATGCAAAATTCTCAATGCAATCTCTGTATTTACCTCATGAGAAAGATTGGAGAACTTTTTTTCGATGTAGCTAAGAACAGAAATAACTTCAGCCTGATGATTTTTCATATTTACATTAGGATTAATTGTAATATACAAATAGCATATTTCTAAATTTTCAGTGACTAATTTGGGATCTGTTATTACATCTTCAAATGGTAAATCCGTATTTTTTGGCAATCTTGATCTTATATTAGTTACGTAAGGAAATGAAGCAACAAAATGTTGACTAAATAGTGATCTGTATTTTTGAGTAAAAATGTTTTGTATCATCGAACTAGGGTACTTTTTGTTGAAGTGTTTAACAAGCTTCCAAAGTAAAGAAATGACTTCGAGAGTGTGTTTAAGTAATATTGCTGAATCTTCTGTAATAACAGTTTCAATGCTTTTGTATGCTTTGATATTAGGGCATGCTTCAAGCCAAATTTCAAAAAGTAAAGGCATTAATGTTTCTACATAAGATGCGAACTTTTCTACTTCATCAGATATCAAAGTATTTTGTGAGTTCTTTGATAAAAAGCATGACACTGTACAAATTGATGTGTAAATTGGGTTGAACAAGGAAAAGTTATTTTTATTCATAACATCAAAAGTCTGTGTGGTTTTGTCAAATAACTGTTCCTCTTTATACACTTCATTTAGTTCAGCAAACTTATATAAGAACTGCTGTAAACGATGAAATACATTAACTCTCCATTTCACACTTGTGATTTGACTGTTCAAATTAACAGTCAGAGTCCTTCCTTGCTTGGCATCAACTTTTAACTTGGATATCATATCCAGGAAATTTGGTATAATCTTATAAAAATCATTTGCTATCAGTCTTGGAGTACATAAAAGCAATATATCAAGAAATAATAGTGAATCTTCTTGAATTCTGCTATCTATGTGAGTCATAGCACTTCTCAAATAAGTTGATAATACATCAAAGAAAGGATCTATTTTTTCAATATCTACATTAGATAACACCATATGTACTACTTTAACTGACTCTCGCCGTACCTGAAAAGAAAAAAAAATTCAATCTATAAATATTAATTAAAAAATGTTTTAGATATTAAATACAGGAAATAAATAAATGTTATAAATGCATTTTAATCTAAAGTTCTGCTTTTTAACATCCTTACATCCATAAATTTTAGAATGTATAATAAACTTGAACAGCTGTAAAATGACCTGAGAGAACATTGTTCAAACAATTTCAAATTATTTGAACCAATAGCCAGATAAATGCAAAGATACAGATTTATTAGGGGCCTCTATGTGCACAAAAACAATAATAGTGGAAGGTTAGAAGAGAAGAACATTTTATTCATCATTTCATTACAGTCCTTCACAAGTCCACTGTTGAACATAGCCTACCCAAGGAATGCCACAAAGCATGGTTCTGAGCCACCTGCGACCATCCACTTCCTACATGTCTTACCAGGTTGTCACTCCATCTAGTGGCCCTACACTTACCCTACCTGTACGAGGCTGCCACTCGAGAACCTTTCTTTACTATCTGTTATCGGTTCTTCAAGCTATATGGTCGGCAAATTCTACTTAAGCTTCCTAATCTGTTGGGGTATGTCAGTTATTCTGGTTCTACTGTGGATATTTCCAGTTTTAAGTCTATCATGCAGAGAGACCCTGAGCATTGCCTACTCCATAGCTTGCTGAGCGACCTTGAGCTTCCTCGTACAGCCAGCAGTGAAGGACTATGTCTCAGATCCATAACTTATCACTGGCACTGGTTGTACAATTTTGTATTTGGGTTTTGAAGTATACCTGACAAGATGTGTCATAATTTCCAAACGCTATGCATCCGTCTATACAATAAATATCCAGAATAAAGCAACGGGACCCAGGGAGCCAGCAGCTGGCAGACTTCATGAAGAAAGAGGGACTCATAATGATGAACACTATTCCAGAAGCGGCAACACAGAAAGTGGACCTGGTCAAGCCCCGATGGTTCGATAATAAACGGGATTGACTTTGTTATGATAACCAGACGACAAATGTTCAGTGATGGTTCCGGGATACCTGAAATTTTGAGTAAGATTAAGAGGTTCTACACGCAGCTCCATACATCATCTTTGAGAAGAACATATTATGAGCCAGCTCTGAAAAAACTAAAGTACAAATAGAAACTGAATGATAAATACGTCCCACTGCTGGGATGCCTCCTCTCATTTCTGAGAGAGTTTTAGGGCAAGGAAATGTCTGTCGCACAGCCCCAATTTGGTTTGACGAACTTAGTAAATCAGCACTTAAAATTGCAATTAACAATTTATTGGTTCCGGCAGGGATCAAACCTGGGTTGATCGCATACAGTGAAATTTATAGCAAGTGTTAAGCCCCTGAGCTACCTTGGCTATGGCAATGGCTCTTGCAATCTATTATATTAATATTATTTTTGAACAGTTATACTAAGAAGAAATAAGCAATTACGTGTTTATGGATTTCGCCATGTTTTGTATCTTAATGAGGAACAACTTGCAGTATGTCCCTATTATATAAAAAAAGAGACAAAGATGACATAGGTAACTATCACCTTATGAGCCCATTGTTCTAAGTGATATAAAGAGAGTAGTAACTTACTTTTTAACCCCCGATGCAAAAAGAGGGTTGTTATAACTTTGATTGCTATGTGTCTGCCTGTGACACCATAGCTCTTAAACGGGTGAACCAATTAGATATGTTTTATCAGAATCGGTTCAGCCGTTTCAATGTCATCAGCTGTTTGTTATTTGTTAGCAATTTTTCAATTTAAGTTATAATTATTATAGAACTGGTTTGAGCTACAAAATCAGTTTTAGCAACTGTTTAGCTACAAATTTCTATGCAACTTCCAACATCGATTTTTGATAACTTTTCAGTGCTATCTTGATAGAGCTTCATATGAGGCCATTTACAATCATAATTTGCCAATGAAAGAACTTCCAGGTCCAAAACCATTGTTTGTGGGCAATACAACTATTTACTTTGGGATAAAACCATTGTTTTTAGGGTTCCATACCTCAAAAGGAAAAAACGGAACCCTTATAGGATCACTTTGTTGTCCATCTGTCTGTCTGTCAAGACCCTTTTTCTCAGGAACGCGTGGAGGTATCAAGCTGAAATTCATATCAAATACTCAAGTCTACTGTCCCTTAGAGCTGTGAAAAAATCAAACTTCTATGCCAACGCAATTAAAAGATACAGCCGTTTATGCCGTAAATTTTCGACATTCGCAAGGGAATCAAAACCTACAGAGTACTTCCCGTGAACTCAGAAATTGGGTACGAATCAACGTTTTATAGCACAGATAAAGGAAAAATTGCGGAAAGCATAAATTTTTAGTTACATCATATAATAAATATATTTTTGATAATTTTGAACTTATATACCCACAGATTTGTACGGAACCCTCGGTGCACAAGTCCAACTCGTACTTAGCCGGTTTTTTTTTACATTAGTCTCATTTAAATTTTAACTAGATCGAAGAATAATTCCAGGTCAGTTCACATATTTTTCTGCCGACTTCCAAAAAGGAGACGGTACTCAATTCGACTGTACTTTATTTTGTTTTTTTTTTATGTGTGACCTCATAACTTTTTACTGGGTGGACCAATTTTGATGATCCTTTTTTTATATAATAGCTGTTACATCTCGCATGGTCCCATATGAATTTGATCAAGGTCAGACCAATAGTCTTTGAGTTATTCTTAATAACTTATTAATATCTTAATAAATTATTGAAGTGAAATGTTCTTTAGAATTGTTGTGATTAAGTCGATAAAACAAAAAAGCTACACTAAAAAGATCTATAGAATTTAGCATGCCAGAGAATGAGATAGAATACAGTAAACAGTGCTTCGTATAATCTAGTCTCCTTTTCCGAAGGTTTCGCTATTACCGCATGTGAACAACTGCACACGTTTTTAAATATTAATCAATTTATCATTGATTTAATATATTCAAATTGGTTCGACTTACTTCTTTTTCCACGTTTAAAATTAGTGGTGTGATCCCATGAATAAGGTTCCCAAGGTTTTCTTCTAACGATTCGCGATGTAAGGTAATGAGTTCTTTTAAGCCAGTTAAGGCTTCCATCCTAGCATTTTTATTAAAATGACTAAGACGTGATAACAACTCTTTAATATTGAGCTTTCTCGAAGATAAAACTTCGGTATTATCATGTTTTTTAAGTTGTTCCTTGAGGACAATTTTCTTCACTTTAAAATTTGTTTTGGTTACATTAGTTCCTTTCGGTAGGTCTTTTTTCCCTTTTAATTTAGTTTTAGCCTTCTCAGATTTGAGGAACTTTTGATATCTGGTTGCACCTGTTTTATGCATTTTAAATAAACTTTACTAAAATATTACTTAGGTATTAATAATAATTATATTATGTATTCGCTAACCTATAACCAAGACCAACCCAACTTTGTTGTTGTTGTTGTTTTTATTATTCGCTCGATAGAGCAGGCAAAGGAACTAAGTCATACAGCCTTGGCTACTTTATTTTGAATATATAGAATTTTAAAGTGTAAAGGCCGGAACCAAGTCTTTTCTTCTTTCCATCTCTTCAAAATCTATAAAGGCCGAAGCCAAGTCTTATTTTCTTTATATTTTTTCTTTATATTCTTTATTCTTCATATTCTCAAAAACCGTAAAGGCTAAAGCCAAGTCTTCTTTATATTATAATCTTTGTAAATTTCAATCCATGTAGATTTGTCAATCCATAACATAAACATACATAAACACTCACGCCTGTCACCCAGAGGGGTAGGCAGAGATTATGGACTTCCATTTGGCACGATCCTGACACACCTCTCTCGCTTCTTCCACATCCATATACCTACGCATATACGCTCGTCGGTTAAAGGTACTCTTGATTTGGCCCATTTTTAATATATCGCCAATTTGGTCGATAAACTTTCGCCTAGGGCGACCCTTCCCGACTATGCCGTTCACCTCTGCAACATAGATTTGCTTTGTCACTCTTTCCTCATTCAATCTTTCTACATGGCCAAACCACCGAAGCATTCCTTTCTTAATCCTGGTCACAACATCATCTTGCAAACCACACTCTTCTCTTATTAAACAATTTCTCACTCTGTCATTCAGCTTCATCCCTAACATACTCCTTAATGACCGCATTTCTACAGCATTTATTCTACTCTCATGCTTCTTCTGCCACACCCAACTTTCACTACCATACATTAAAGTAGGTACTAACACAGCATTGTGAATTGCCATACGTGCCTTTTTGGACACATTCTGACTTTTCACAATAGAGTGTAGAGCCCCATTCACTCTATTTCCTGCATTCACTCGTCGTTCTATATCCTTATCATATCTACCATCCCTGCTAATCTTGTCAATCCAATATTTTCAAAAACAGGGATACCATATTTCATATTTCTTTTATAGTATTATGAACAAAATTGCAAAGTGCTAAATATGTCTTAGTATTTCTAAGAACATCTTGCAGGGCACGCGGGACGCTTTCTGAGTTTTCAAAAACTTGTACAAGTTTTTCAATGAGTAGCAATCTTTCTATGGCGTACGCTGGGCAGTTAAATATTATAATTATGTTCTGCAGTCTGATCTGCTTTTGTATCGCAGAAGTTGCATGTTGCAGATGCTACTATTCTCATCCTGGAAAGATGAGTGTTCAGTCGATAGTGGCCAAATCTAAGTCTGCACATTATTGTATAAAATGTTCTGTTATGATATCTCTCGTTGCGTAAAAACCAAGGAATACTTAATTCTGAATTAATTGATGCATACCAACGACATTTTCCTGCCTCTAAAACAGCATTCCATTGCATTTTCCATTCTTCTCTTAACTGTTGCTTTAAAATTGAATATAAATATGTATGTGGTATTGCAACACTGGTTATCCTGTCAATATCAGCTGTAACTATACTTTTAGCTAAATGCTCTGCGCTTCATCCCCCTGCTCTGCGCTTTCATTTCCTTGAACACCAATATGTGACGGAGTCCATAAAATTTTACTTCCAAATTATTTTCTTTCAATTTCCACCACAAACTTTTTATTTCATATGTGATGAAAGACGTTTTAGCATCTAAAGTTCTTGCCTTCAGTGCCTTCAAGACACTCATGCTATCAGTGATCAGTAACCATTTATTAGATACATGTGGGTGTTCTTCTAAATATTTAAGAGGGATTAAGACAGCATAACATTCTGCAGTGTATATGTTTGCTGATGCAGGAATGGAAAGACCACGTCTAGTTTTCAGATGACGTATGTAAAATGCACAGGCTACTTTATTTTCAACTTTTGAACTATCTATGTAAATTTGTCGATATTCATCATAAGATATAAGATATAAGTTCATAAACCTCTTATTTTCTTTTCAATTTTTCATCAATATTTATGTGTATATCACTGAATTTACTTTCATAATTCCCCTTATAACAAGGCCAAATATGTATGCTTTTGTGAATATTATATTGTTCATCATATCGTATCACTTCATGAAAGTCATGGAGTATGTATGGGGCTGAGTTAGATATAGGAGACATATTATTATGGTAAAATAATACTTTTTGAAAAATAGGATGATGAGACAAAGAATAAATATTAAATAAAAACCTAAATTTCAGATATTTAAACCTAAGTAAGATAGGAGGAGTAAGACATTCAGCCTGTAAAGAAACAATAGGAGTTGTTCTCATAGAGCCCGTAATAAGTCTTAAATTCTTATTTTGTATAATATCTAATTTGTTTACTAGTTATTTATTTGATGCAAAACAAAGGAAGCCATACTCAAAATGGCTCCTCACCAAAGACTTATATAACATTAATAATATTTCTGGATCAGCTCCCCAGTTAGTACTATCCAAAGCTTTTAATACATTAAAAGCCCTAGAAGCTCAGTCTGAAATAGAATTCACGTATTTGGTCCAAGATAAATTATTTGTAAAAATTACACCTAAGAATTTTGCACAATTTCTATTGGTAAAAATGTATTATTATAAATTATTCTAGTGTTAAATGGACGAATTTTATTAAATATTACAACTTTACTTTTCTCAGTATTAATTTCTAAATTTAAGTGTGAAAAGTAAATGTGCAATTTCTTTAAAGCCTCATTTAAAATGGTTATCAAGTTTTTGACATTTGTTCCTGAGGCATATATGACCAAATCATCTGCATATTGTAAATTAGTAACATTTGATCCTAAAATATTATTGTTTAGGCCAAAAATGGTCATGTAAGGACGGCATTCAATCACGTTCGACTTTGCCAATCGCCCGATCGTACCAGGTGTCACGCGTGTGTCGGGGAGGGGGCAGCGGAAGGGAGCTTCCCAGCGTCTTGGCGGTCGGGCGAGACGGTAGGTGACAGGAGTAGTTTGCTAGCAGCGACCCGGTTAAGCCGAGTGTTTCGGCTATCGCTGCGGAAGTTCACGCAAGACCGGTTTTGGGTAATTAGGGTCTAGAATTTTTTGGGCGCGTGGCTTCGCTACGTAATTGGGTTTCGTGAAATTCGCCGGTTTTCGTGAAATTCGGTGGAGGACGGAGTGCAGAGTTGGCACGTGGAATGTTAGAGGAGGCATGAGAGATAAGACGAATGAGTTGATCGAAATAATGAAAGAAAGAGAATTAGATGTCGTCTGTATGTCGGAGACCAAACGGAAGGGCAGTGGTACTGAAGAGCTCCCTGGCGGGGCGTTAGCTCTATGGTCCGGAGTCCCGGAGAGCGAGAACGCCTGCCAGTGAGTGGGGGTGCTGCTGTCTTCTCGGTTGGTCGATGTTATGACTGAATATAAGTTTGTGAACTCAAGACTTCTCTGGGTTCGCTTTAAATTGGGACTGACGAAGTTATTCCTTTTGGCTGTTTATGCGCCGGTGGCTTCGTCGTCCAGGGCTGAGCTGGAGGAGTTTTGGGAGAATGTAAGAGAAGTTCTAGATTTGGCTAGGGGAAACGAAAGGATTGTTGTATGTGGTGATTTGAATGGATGGGTTGGTACCGCTCGACCAGGGTACGAGTCGGTACTTGGAAAGTTTGGCGATAAAAGGGTTAATGATGCTGGCAAGCTTATACTGGCGGTATGCAAGGAAAAGGGTCTTCTTGTGACAAACACTATGTTTAATCACAAGAAAATCCATATGTATACTAGAGAAAGAAAGAATGAGAGAAGTATGATCGATTTGTTCCTGGTGGATGACCGACTGCGAAAACAGGTTATGGATACGCGAGTGTTCAGGGGTGCTGACCTGGGAACGGATCACTATCTAGTGATTACTAGATTTAGGGGTCTGTTCGCGGGTTGGCGCTACCGGACGACAGTGACAGAACCACAGTCGGTCTGTCGCATCCGAAGCTGGAAGCTTCAGGAAGCGGATACTAGGGACAAATATCATGCGAGGGTAGCCGAAAAGCTTGACACCATCGATGGCAGAAACGAATGTGTAGAAAGAACATGGCAGAACCTTAGGGATGGAATGGTAAGTGCAGCGGAAGAAGTGTGTGGAACAATAAAAAGAGGCAGTAGTAAAAGAAGAGATGCATGGTGGAATGATGAAGTGAAAGAAGCTGTAAAGAAGAAGAAGAAAGCATGGTTAGACTACTTGGCCTCTAGTAATGATAAGGATATGAGAGAGAAGATGAAAGAAAGATATAAGCTGCAGAAAGTTCACACGAAAGCATTGATTGAGGAAGTGCGTGAAAGGTGTAGAATGGAAGCGGATGAAAGGTTGTCGCACAACTTTAAGGAGAACTCCAAACTCTTCTGGAAAGAGGTTGGAAGGACCCGAAGTGGTGCGACGGCCTTAAGAATGAACAAAGTGCTTTCGAGAACTAATGACGTCCTCTCAGAAAAATCGGACGTCATGCAGCGATGGAGCGAATTTTATAGAGAAATGTATGCGTGTGATCATCTTAGTGAGGGATCCGGGGATGACGCCGTGACTGGCACGCCAGACCCGGACCTCGATGACACTGAGGTCATCAGTATGAAAGAGATTGAACGTGCGATTCGAAGTTTGAAATGTGGTAAGGCTGCGGGACTAGACAGAGTTACTGCTGAAATGGTCAAGTATGGTGGGCCTCGCGTCTGGGACAGCTTTCATCTGCTGTGCAATTTGTGCTGGCGGACGGGGGATGTCCCGGATGATTGGCGATCCGCAGTCATTGTGCCTTTATATAAAGGTAAAGGTTCACATTTTGACTGCGGGTGCTATCGGGCGATCAGCTTGACCAGTTTAGCAAGTAAAGTTTACTCGAAGGTTTTGACACGTAGGATGCAAGAGAAATCGGAAAGATTTCTATGGGAGGCACAATGCGGATTTAGACCTGGAAGAGGATGCACGGATCAAATGT